CTCGAAAATTTTTGAAATCGATAAATACGCGCGGACTGGAACCTAGGGCGTTCCAGCCGCCCAAGTGGCAACCTCGAAAAAATTTTTGCAATCGAAAATAGGGGCGGACTGGAACCTAGGGCGTTCCAGCCGCAAATAAAGTGCAGTTTCGAATTTCGTCCACACGGGGCGGTGGTGCGGATTGGAACCTAGACCGTTCAAACCGCAAAGGCAATATACATACGTATGCGGGCTTGAAACTCGTCGCATAAGGCATTTTAAGGTTTTTGCTCTTACTGTCTATAAAGGCGAAAATAATAAGTTGTATCTAAGAGATAAATGAATAAATAGTTCAAAAAGGGTAATTATCCTTAAACAAGACGTGGCAAAGCCTACTAGGCGTAGCCCAGGACTGAGTACAACCGACTGGAACGAACGTGCGAGCCTAGTGCTCAACCGCCTCCCGACGAAATATTTGACGGTGGTACCGGGGGGTTCGGTACTCGGACAGTAGGAGGTTTAGTTCGGGTTAAAGTCCCACACTGACGGGTATAGGCTTTCGATGCTTCCTCCTCGTAAAAAAAAAAAAATGTATATCAGCATTTTAGTTGAAAGTACGTTTTGCTCGTCGCTCTCTTCATCTCTCCACTACATTCCTGTCCATAGTTTTATTCGGATACCACAAAAGTATATTTTCTTCGAAAATACTCAAGTACTACCAGTAGAGTACTCTACTGTCAAATACCTTTTACTCGCAGTAGTTGCGTAAGGCAAAGTAAATACTTTACGCGTCTTGCTATTGATCGGTAGTTTACGTACGCTTGCAGAAACTGGTTTATGCTTACTCACACTTGACCCGAACGATGAGAGTAAAGGACGGAAAGTATTTGCGCGGCGATCGGATGTCTTGTTAGGCCGTTTAAATGGAATTGCGCAGGAGTTTAGTACATATGTATGTCCATCAGTATATCAACGAAGCCCGTTTGTTTCATCATACATATCAGTGATGGAAAAGTAGGCAGAATAGTGCCATTTTTGGCACTTTCACAGAGGCACTTTTGGCACAATTCATCCTGTTTTGGCACAATCATAAAACACAGAAATTTAAAATAGAAGGCCACTATATAACAAAAAATTAAAATAAGGGCCTTGAGAAATATTTACAAACCGCTGAATTATATTGTGAATACTCAGTACGAAAAGGAAGTTTTCGCAACAACAAGCCTTTAATTCAGAATTTTTAGAAAGATTCTAAGTTTGCAGTTTTATAGTCCATTAAATAAAAGTGCAAGTTTCTACAAAATCCCGATGATGTTAAATATTTTTTTCATGTCGGAATTCTTATGCTCTTACCCCCTAGGATTGTTCTATATCGAAAAAATATACTCTTATTTTTTAATTTTGAAATCAAAAAATATTTAGAGTTCGCTCAAAGCGCTCAAAGTTTTCCATGTATTTTATATGGGGAAAAACAACTTTTCGTAGAAATGGTATAGAATAGTTAAACATCTATATTTTTCTACCAGAAAACTCTGTTTATCTGCAGGAGATTCCCAATAATAGTAACCAATTGTTATTTAACTATTTTTTCATTGTAACTACAGGGTGGCGCCGAAGAAGCTGTATGGTTTAAATGGTTTATAACTTTTTTATTTATGCGATTATTATATATTTTTTTTTAAATACAGTATATTATTTGGGAATTTTTTACAATTATCTTTGGCAAAAGATATAAGTGATGTTCAATTTCTGCTTCGCACATCCGTGCTCTTTTTAGCATATTTTCCATAACTTTTCGCAGAATTTCGGGTGTAATGGCCATGATTTCATTTCGAATGTTGGTTTGGAGTTGGAGAATGGTTCTTGGTTTGTTAACGTACACTCTTTCTTTCAAATATCCCCAAAGACAACTCTTAAAAAGAATTCAAACCATATAGCTCATTCGGCGCCACCCAGTATTATAACCAAAAATTTGAGGGTTTTTGGCCGAAATTACGATGTTTTCAAGGTAAAATGACGATTTTTCAGCAAAAGCATTCGGCAACGCTGCTGGCGGGTCATTTTCAGGCGTGGATCCCGTTGGCATAGAGTAAAAAAAAAAAACTTATAAAGAATTCAAACCATATAGCTCATTCTGCGCCACCCAGTACAATTTATAGATCCGCCAAATACCCACGAAAACAGTGAAAAATGCAATGGGGCGACCAATAAAAATTAGTAAATAGTATTAAAAAATGGTTAAATAAACAATTGGGTATTATTATTGAAAGTCTCCTGAAGAGAACCAGAGTAATATTGACTTTCAAGAATTCTATACCATTTCTACGAAAAAATTTATTTTTCCCATATAAAAATACATGGAAACCTTTGAGCGACCTCTAAATATTTTTTGATTTTAGAATATAATAATTGGGGTATACTTTTTTTCGATATAGAACACTTCTAGGGGGTGAGAGCATTACAATTCCGGCTTTACTGTTTTTGGACCACCCTAATGTACATATGTACAGAGCAAAAGGGAACATTTTCTTTGCAGATCTTCCACTGTATAGCTGCCTACATGCACACCAACGTAGCAATGCTTTGAACGATATGAAACAACTAGTAATTTTTAGCAAAAAAAACCGACTTCAACTCCCATATAAAAAAAATATATATATATATATATCTCATGATCCGCTGATCGGATCTTAACCAGATTAGTATGGGACCACCTCTGAGACACTACCNAAAAAAAAAAAAAAAAAAAAAATAAAAATAAAAAAAAAATATTCCGACGAACTGATAACCTCCTCCTTTTTTCAAAGTCGGTTAAAAACAGAAACGAAAGCGAATAAATGGAACAATTTTTCATTCTCTTATGTCGCGCTGAGACGCTGCCTATCGAAATGAACGTAGCAACGCATTGCTCTATGTAAAAATTTTAAAATCTTTCAANAAAAAAAAAATATTCCGACGAACTGATAACCTCCTCCTTTTTTCAAAGTCGGTTAAAAACAGAAACGAAAGCGAATAAATGGAACAATTTTTCATTCTCTTATGTCGCGCTGAGACGCTGCCTATCGAAATGTAAAAATTTTAAAATCTTTCAACGCAAATATTTCGAAAATGGTTCAATGAATCTTAAATCTGAAAAGTTTGTACAAAGTTTCAAATCGAACACTTTAATTTGATGTATAGTTTCTATAGTCGTACAGCTTGTGGATCGCTGGGAATAAGCGCGTTGTTTCAGAATAATATATAGATTATATTACTTCAGTGTATTTTAAATTATTATATTACTTCAGTGTATTTTAAATTATTATATTACATCAATGTATTTTAAAAATATTATTTTTATCGCTAATCTGCTCTTTGTGATTTGACAGAATCAGCTGTGTGCGTGACGTCATCTTGGTGCAATTTTTGATTGTGAGAATACGAGAAAAACTAAATAACAATTTTAATATTTGTGCGTTAATATTTCTGCGTGGTTTTAAACAATTATTGAGACATTACAAAGCAAAATGAAGTGTGCAGTGGAAAAGTGTAATAGTGAAAACAAAAGGAAAGCGTGCGATATAAGTTTTTTTCAGAGCTAGGTAATTTTAAGGACTAAAAAACATGATTACGAATACCGTAATTATAATCCTTAAAATTTTAAGATTACAATTACAGTAATTGTAGTCATGAAAATTACGATTACGATTACTTTAATTGTAATCCTAAAAATATTATGATTACAATTAATGTAATCGTAATCAAGAAAATGTTGATTGCGATTTTTTAATTTTCTGTAGAAGTTTAGTAGTTAAGTAAATGAGGGGAACTTTCACCGAAAAGTATGTAAAATTGATTTAAATTTGAAGTAATACAGTTACACAGCGGCCGCTGTGGTGTAGAGGTGGGTAATGGCACGATTTATTGTGTGTTGATACAGTGGCGGAGGTAATTCCAAGCATTTGCTGTTGAATTGGGCAAAATTTGGTATACGAGTAAGTGTGTTTATTAAATTAAAATATGCGATTGATCATAGTTATTATGTACCATAATTCATTTTTACTTAGAAAATGTCAAAAAAAGAAAAGCGATGTATGGCTTCACTTTTCAGCCGAGAAAGAGGGAAAAGTTAAGTGCCTCTTGTGCGCCCAGGTGCTCTCCGTGGGGAATAAATCGACCTTCAGTCTATTGCGACATTTAAGCACCAAACATCTAACGCAAACCATAAGGAGGCAAGATCCTGCAGCAATAGTTAGCGACAACAACAACAATTGCGTTAGTACAGAATAAACTGCAGAGGCGGCCATGCCAGCTTCGTGTGTTCAACCACGTCCATCCATAGCGCAGTATTTTAGCAAACCAATTTCCGCTAAAAGGAGCATGAAATCGATCACCAATTGGTCAGGATGATTGTGAGGGAATACCACCCATTTTCGGTTGTGGAGGATGCAGAGTTCAAAAAATTGGTATTCATGCTGAATCCATCGTACAAACTTCCAACGCGGAAAACAATATCCTCAACATTAGTTCCAGCAACTTACAGTGAAACCGTCGAAATAGTAAAACAGCGTTTGGGTAGAGCATATGCAGTGTGTTTGACGGTAGATGGGTGGACATCTCGTGCGCAAGATAGCTTTATTAGCGTTACTGCACACTATATAGTTGAAGGTAACAAGTGCACTTTTCTGGCTTCCGATTTGTTAAGCTGCGTTTCGTATACAGAGCGGCATACTAGTGACAACATAACAAAGAAACTGACGGAGATTTTGCAAGAATGGGATTTAGGCCATAAAATCACAGTAATTGCTACAGATAACGCGGCAAATATGAAGGCGTCGGTGCGAGGAGGTGGGTGGAGGCATTGGGGCTGTTTTGCGCATAGCTTAAATTTGGTAGCACAGTCAGGTTTGAAAGAAATTCAACCGGTTTTGGACAAAGTAAAGGCAATCGTGAGGCTTTTTAAAAAAAGTTCGTATGCGCATTCACAGCTTAATGCCACGGCAAAAAGAATGGAACTCCCCGTTTGCAAATTAATCAACGACGTTCAAACCCGTTGGAATTCAACCTACGAGATGCTGAAGCGTATTTTGCTAATCAAAGATGCCGTGATCTCTACTGTAGCTGTTGTTAAGTCGTCTGCATTGGTGAGAGATGAAGGACTGTGTAGTATAGATTTATTAAGTAATGAAGAATGGTTAGTTGCGCAACAAACCATGGATGTTATGGAGATGTTCGAAATTGTGACTACTACAATTAGCGGAGAAAAGTATGTTAGCGCTTCGACAGTAATTTTATATGTTAAACAATTAGATAAACACTTAAGGACTTTAAACACCAACGAACTTACACTATTTGCACAAAACTTAGTGAAAAAACTACTAAATGAATTAAATTTTCGATTCAGAGACTTGGAACAAAATGAGCTCATAGCTCAAGCGACGATCCTTGACCCGCGTTTTAAAAAATTTGGATTTATAAGCGAGCTTAGTTATAATACAGTTGTGAAAAGACTATATTCTAAAGTAGGAAATACCACTATCCAAAACAAAGAAAATGAAGGAGATTTAAGTGCAGGCATTGAAGACCGTGCTCAGAATAGCTCGTCGGAAAGTCACCGGGAAGGTTTACTGTGGAAGGATTTCGATGCTGAGGTTCACATGTATACGCGTCCACAAGACCAATTAGCTTCTGCTATAGTAGAACTTGACAAATATTTGGCTGAGCCTATTTTGCCAAGGAAAAACGCACAGGGAAAGAATAACGACCCTTTGTTCTTGTGGAGCCAACGGAAGCATATTTATCCAAGGCTATATCGCATAATGAACNGCTTCTGCTATAGTAGAACTTGACAAATATTTGGCTGAGCCTATTTTGCCAAGGAAAAACGCGCAGGGAAAGAATAACGACCCTTTGTTCTGGTGGAGCCAAAGGAAGCATATTTATTTATCCAAGGCTATATCGCATAATGAAATCGCGGTTATGCATTTCAGCCACTTCAGTACCATGTGAACGCATTTTTTCACATGCAGGACAAATTGTAAGCGAAAAAAGAGAAAGACTAGACTGCGAAAAAATATCGCAAATTATTTTTTTAAATTATAATCTAGGACATAATGATTTTTAAGAAAAAAGTATACTTTTGAATCGTATATATATATATAACTATATTTAAATTTTTTTTACAAATGATGGCAATTCATTGCTTTTGAGTTACAAATTACTTAAGATATATGAATATGTTTTAACTAGTCGTTATAAAAGCCAAGCGCCATATGATCTTTAAAAAAAAAGTGATTTACTCAGTATTATCATAAAAAACTAAGTTTTTTATATAAAACTTTATAAACCAATTGTAATAATCTACAACTGACCTCCATTTTTATTGTTTTTTCTTTACTTTTAATTATTATTTACGATCTCGATAAAATATGTGATTTACCTAGTAAAATAAAAAACCAAGTATTGAATTCAATAAACACGGTATCTTTACTGATTGTAATAATCTACAATCGAATAATATGTTTGTTGTCTTTACTTTAGTTTTATTAATATAGAACATTACTTCGAAAACATAAAATGTCTTTGTTAAATAAATCTCAGCGTAGTTGCGCATATTGGACATTAATATCTTCTGCTTTAAAAACAAAAGGGACTGATACTTTGCATTGATGCGTTTTTTGTTAACCGATTAGGGTTTTCACAAATTTAGCAGCGTATAACACGAAATTATAACTGTGAATACCCAAGATATGTTTGTTGCCATATGTATACGTACGACAATTGTGTTGGTGAATTTTGCTAAAGATATGGATGTATTTGGTTGGTGCACGGTTCATGCAGTAGCGTACAGAGGTGCTGATGAGCACAAGCACAGTGTGCTATGTGTTCCAAAAAACACACTGGCCAGTATGTGCTTTAGTCGAGTGTGTCGAGTGTGTTACTACGCTATAGTTTAATCAAAAGGTGTGCCAGAGCGTGCGGCACATCGAAGAGTGTTAGCACAGTAGCACAGCACTGGGGTGTGTTACACATCACTACTGTGGTGTTGTGGTTAGCAGTGCATGCTACCATTGCGTAGAGCCTGTATTCAAGCCAGTGATCGGACTTAAAAAAATTCTGTGTGGTAGAATCTGGAAAAAAATGTGGTAGATCTCAGACTCTGGATCAAAGTTTGTAAAAAAATTTAAAAAATTCTGCAAGGTTTCACCTAAATTTCAAACTTTTTAATTAGGCTCTAAAAAAAATTCATTTTAGTACAACAAAGTGCAAGATTGAAGTTGCTAAGTGTAGGCAGTTCCTTCCATATCAAGATATTTTTCGAACATAGGTAAGTTTTTTTTTCTCTTTATCACATCACGAAGTAGCGAACAAATGTGGCACCACTACTTGGAATTTGCCGATTTTGACAATTCTCCAGTCAATGTATACAACGCCTCAGAAATTTTATATGCACTGAAATTTGCTAATACTTTCACAAAAATCCCCGTTTTTTTACATTTTCGCTATTAATTCTTTTTATAAGTCATATATTATAAAATTTAACATAATGAAACCACGTTTCCTGTCGAAAAATTTATTATTGAGAAAATTTACTATTTTACAGTTTATTTTTTCCTCCCATTCGGCTTTGTTTACTTTTACTTGAGAAATTTCATCGCCGACGGGAATGCGGAATCTTGTATTATATCATTCTTGTTACCATATAGTGTTTAGTTTTGGACAATTTTTGCTACTAAAATTAATAAAATTATGTCGAGCAGAAATAAAACCAGGTACTCAAAAACGCGAATATGTGGTAGATTTCAGACCTTGTGTGTTAGATGTGGTAGATGCTCAAAAAGGTGGCAGATCTACCACAATGTGGTAGAAGTCCGATCACTGATTCAAGCCCGGCTAACCCAACATCAAAATAAATAATATAAAACAACTTTTTAATATACAACGCTTTTATAAAGGGACTAAAAAGTAGAAAATAATAATTCTCAGACCCATAGAATTTGATTTGATAACTTTTGATTTTGAAATTTTAACAAATGTCATTATAAACAATTTATGAGATTGAAAATAAAAAGCGTGGGGCGCATGAATAGACCAGAATTGATATGAAGGATAATATATGCATGTATGTGGATATATGAATTAGGAATGTTCGATATTTAAGAAAGTATCGATATTATGAATCGATTTAATTCATCGCATGTAAAATAGATATGGCGAAAAATCGATGTTGAAAATCCTACTCCCTTTTTCAACGAAAAAATTCCAGGAAGAAATTTTTTTGACGTAGTTTGGGGTCTCCTGTTTAGGTGAACACGAAAATAAAGTTTTTCCCCTAATCGCGATATGGGAAATGTCCGCTTGGACATTTGTGTCTTTTACGATTTGCGCGCTAATTTTGCATTTCTCGTGAAAAAAGGTAGAGAACAAAATTGTAGAGAATTCGATCCCCTACAATTTTCATGTGCCTGTCATTTTTTTAAACAATTATTTATTACTAATAATAATAGTTGGGTAAGTGGCGCGGTTTTTTCGAATTTTGAGCAATTTCTATTTGAAATAAGTGGCTCATTTAAATGGCAAAGTTGTAGAGGACGAAATTTCCAATAAACGCATTATTTATATGTTCGCGTACGACGTGTAGATCTCGAAAAACAACGCGCTCAATGCAGCGGCAGGGGAAAGCTACTCAAAACTTTTTTCACAGTATCTCGGAGGTCGTGTTTTTTGGTGCGTATATTCACCAATAGGCCAAGCCCATGAATGACTATTTTCAGTCAGTTGAAACTGTAATTAGCAAATAGTTTTTGTGCTTTTATCAATACGACTTTTCTCTGATTGTAAAGAGTTTTATTGTGGCAAAAATAACTATGTGTGGATTAGGACTACTGGTGAAACCACATAAAAATAAAACGCGCCAATAACTTTAACTCTGAGGCAATGTGGAAAAAAGTTTTGAGTAGCTTCTCCCTTTCCGCTGCATTGAGCGCGTTGTTGGTCGAGATCTACACGTCGTACGCGAACATATAAATAATGCGTTTATTGGAAATTTCGTCCTCTACAACTTTGCCATTTAAATGTGCCCCATATTTCAAATAGAAATTGCTCAAAATTCGAAAAAACCGCGCCACTTGCCTAATTTTGGGCATTTTTTGCATATTATTAGCAATAAATAATAGTTTAAAAAAATTGATAGGCCATGAAAATTGTAGGGAATCGAATTCTCAACAAATTTCTTTACCTTTTTTCGCGAGAAATGCAAAACTCGCGCGCAAATCGTAAAAACATAAAGTCCAAGATGGCGGACACTTCCCATATCGCAATTGGGGGAAAAGTTTTCATTTTGTGTTCACCTAAACAGGAGACACCCAACTGCGTCAAAAAATTTCTTTCCGGATTTTTTTTAATCTTACGTCGATTTTGGTCTAAAGTGATCGGGCTATTGAATAGAATGTTAGACCTGCCTATCAACTCACCTAATTGTGTTATTTCCATCTTGAATATTTACTGAGGATTAAAACGGCATGCCGGTCAACAGTATTGCCAAAGAAGATAAAACAAGACAATAAGTCTAACGGTGGAAACGAGTTAAGAGCCGTATACACCATGCAAGCGGTTTCCCTGTAGGGAAACCGCGGACTAGTGAATCAAATTTCTAGATCCGTACTAGGTCTTTATCGCCAAAAACGAACTAGTCCGATAGGAACTAGATCCCCAGCGGGCCAAAATTGGCGAAAAGTGGTACTTTTAAAAAACTATTTTTTTTTCAGTTTTTTCACTAGAAATCTATATCTAAAGTGACGAATTTAGAAATAGTTCGGAACTATAGAAAAAGGGATGCAGAACGAACTAGATCTTATTTGTCGAATTTAGAACCAGTTCAGAACTATCGAAAAAGGGATGCAGCGCGGGGCTTGTTTACTTTACATAGATATGTGTTCGGCGCCTTTTTCGTTCAAATACGCTTCTAGTCGGTGCTTCA